GCTGGGCAGTCAAGGTGGCGCGCTCATCCATCTGTCCATTGGTGCTGGCTGTCCGCTGGGGTCTCAGGTGGGGTTATCGAGTTTTTCAACCTGGAGAAAGTGGTGTCCCTAAAGTCACTGAGGCTGAGGGAGAGGCTGCTGAGGAACCGTGGGCTGGGAGGGTCGGGCTGGGCTCCTGGCATCTCCACTTCCTCTGTGTGTATTCACACTGAGCCATCTTGGCCTGCCCGCGAAGTGGAGGTGACACCTCTGCCCACAGAGCTATTAGGAGGGTGGCGTGGGAAGAGCTGTTACATAGAAGCACTTTGTAAAGCAGGAAGGCTTTGATGATGCCTGGTGGTGGTGTCACTGTGTTTGTAGGCCCCTCAGGACTGGAAATGAGGGCGACCCCAAGGAAGGGGAGGCCTCCCTGTGCACCGTCACCACCCGCCTGGGTCCTGATGCTGCTCCTGGGATGAGGTGTGGTCTCTTCCTGTGCCTGTGGCAGATTGGCTCGCTCTTTCTTCCCTTCTTCCCTCTCTCTCTTTCTTTTTTTAACTTCCTGTTTAAGTAAGCATTTATTCAGCACATTTGTCCTTCTTTTGGCAGAACCCCCTGTATCTGAACCCCCTCCCCAGTTTTGGGAATTCCCACTCCGAGTGGCAGGTGAGCCAATGTTGGGGCTCCACCTTGGCGTTGAGGGGGGCCTGTGATCAGCCCTCCTGTCCCTGCTCCCCAGCCCCCAAGCAGCGCAGGAAATCCTGGGTCAGGAGAGAGTGGGAAAACTTCTTCACTGATGCAGCTCAGAAGCTGACTCTCAGTGGGTCTCTCCACATCCTCGCATATGCAGCTCCTGGGGTGTTTGCTCCAGAAAGATCCAAAAATCCTGGCTGCTCTGTTTCCCCAGCATTGCGCTCTGCCTTTCCCTGCACTCGCATACAGCCCCCTGATTCCCCTGACCACAGGCCAGATGGCGAGCTGCCTTCTCTGCAGGGCCGGGGAGAAGCGAAGGAAGACCATGCTTATTCGTGCTCCGTGTTGAGGGGGACCAAGGAGAAGGCTACATCGCAGAGATGTGTCCTCCGAGACTCCCCAGGGCCTCAGGAAGTCACAAGGATGTTTGTGGCCAGTATCAGTAGAAAGTTGATTTTTTTCTTACAAAATCTCTGCCGCACACTTCTTACCCTACCAGAATATGAAGTCAAACCAGCTTTCTAGATGATTACTGTAAACCCCGGAGGATTTCTAGCTCCATTCTGGGTAGGCAGCTTGAAGAGACCACATGTTAAGACGCTGAGTATGTTTGGCCATCAGTTATCATCCTGCAGTTGCCGTGCAGCCTGGCCTGGTTTTCAAGATACATTCCACCAAGCTCAGAAAGTTCAGATTCTTTTTCCAGCCAGCGTCCCTGAAACCCAGGCAGACACATGAATGTATCCTGGCTTGCTGATACCAGTAATGCCAGTAATTAGAAGAAAAGCTCCTAAATCAGAAGGATTTAACGACTCCCAGATGCTTACATCCCCTGGCCGAGAGGTTCCCTGCAAAGAAGCATCCCTGAAGGGAAATCTGAAAGTATCTGTCAGGAAAATACCTTCTGTTTAAGGAAGCCCTTTGTTCATATCATTGTAAAGTGACATCTGTCCTTATAAACCCCCCCCCACCTTATCTTTTGCTTCGGTCCTTCTGGTCACCCAGCCCTTGAGCCTGGTGGGGTGGACATAGTCAGAACCTTCCTTCTTGTGAATGAGGTTCCCTGAGTCCAGGCTCTGGTCACGTCCGGTCTGAAATGAGGCTGCACTTGAAGGCAGTGTAATGAGGTCACTGGTGCCTTCTCAGCCTGTGAGCCCTTCCTCTGCCCTGCTTACCCGATCCTCACATCTGCCAGAAGAACCTTCCGCAGGCTCAGGTGCTGAGGGGAAGCCCAGAGCAGAGAGGCTGAGAGCCACCCCGCAGCCTCGCCAGAGAAGGCACTGGGTTCCACGTGGAAGTGCCAAGGGGAGAGTGGTGTCAGGAAGTGGAGAGGGGTGTGCATCAAGAGCCTGCCTTGGCCCTCTTCCATCCCTGATGCAAGAAGACTTGAAGGCACAGTTCTTACATCTTGGGAGGGAGAATTGGAAAGAATATTTTATTTACTTTACATAGTAACGTGATACACACTTAAATTAATATATAATATGTATGTATTAGTGGGTGCACGATTAATGTGTCTTCATTGTAGAAAGTACAGAAAAGTTCAGATACTTGGCTACAAATGCATCTGACTTTTCTCTCTCAGATATCCCGCTTGTCTTTCAAATCTCTTTTCATCCTAACCTTATTGATCCACGGCCATTGTAAGTTATATTTAGGAATCACACTGGGCATTTGCAGTTCATAGCATTTTTTTTTAATTAAACAGAGACCAGGAGCTTTTTTCTATGCCATTAAAAATTAATTGAAAGCACTCTTTCGGTGGGAGAATACATTTGAATTTACATTTTTAATTGATAGTAGATTGTTTATAAACTCTCAACAATATGAAAGAGTGTTGAATAAATAGCCTCAGTCCCTCTCCACTGCCTGGGTCCCACCCCCATCTCCCTGGGCCCCGCCCCCATCTCCCTGGGGCCCCGCAGGCTGCTGCCCCTTTGATTGATGCCTTGAACTTCAGTTGGATAGCTTCTTCATGCAAAAACAAACAAATACAGTTTGATATTCTTCATTCTCCATTTTTGCACCCCAGGTAGTCTATCAGACCCACCCCTGCACCCTGCTTTAGCTATCACATAATGGTCTATCTAGAGAGGTTTTCATAACAGCACGTGGAATGCTATCTCATTCTTCAAAAGCACATTTAAATTCTTCTAAAGCAATTCACTCGAAAGATAAATTTCTTTAATCTTACAGAAAGATAGCAAATGAAAAATCAGCCTCGTTCTTCTCCCCAGTCTCACTCCTGATCTGTTACCAACAATAGTCACTGTTACTATTTTCTTATGTACTTTTGCAGAATTATTTTTGTGCTTGTACCCTCCTGAGTATGCATGTGTGTAACTCATTTTATTAAGCCAGGCATCTCAAATGGACATGCCATAATTTCTTGAATCATTCCTCTGTAGCTGGACCTTTAGATTCTTTTTTCTTTGCTTTTACTTGTCTCAGCATGGAAGGAGGAATGATCTTTGATGTAAATTTTGGTTGGTGTCTTTGATTGTTTCCTCTGGATAATTCTGGGAGTGTGATTTCTTGGTCTAAGGATGTAGACATTTTTAGGGATCTTGGTACACACATGCTCCTGGCTTCCCCCCCAATAGATTGTACCATCCCTCATCCCAGCCACCCAGAGGAAAAGGATGGTCACTTTGACAGCAGAGCTGCACTGACCCCCAGCCCAGGGAGTTCCTGGTCTTTTGAAACTGATGTTCTTACAAGTGGCTAGACAGGTTTCTCCTTGTTGGGTTTGAAAGAATCTCTCAACAGCAGCTCCTTGGCAAAGCCTGCTGCCTGGAGCCCAGTTTAGTTGCTTAGCTCCATAAATCTGTAAAAGGCTCACTGGGCCATTCTCCCTCTGGGCTGCCATGTTTGGGGTGAGATACCCCTAGGAACGGCAGGGCAGATTCGTGTCTAGTGTCAAGGCTGACAGAATATACTGCTTTTCCTTCTCAATAGCTGTTGTATAATTATCACAGAGCATGAGTCAGTGATGGGGAAGCTCTGACCTGCCAGGCACTGTTCCACACACCTTACACATATTAACTCACCTGGTCCTCAGAATAGCCCTGTGAATACTAATGTTGTACCCATTTTACAGATGAGGACACTGCGACACAGCAGTCAAGTGACTTGTTCACGGCTACACAGTCAGGAAAAGGTGGATCTGGGATTTGACCGTGAGCCGTGTGTTCCCAGGGCCCAGGCTCCACCATTACTGTGTTCTCCTGATTCTAAAAGAAACCTGCTGTTTCTTTAAGAACCACATTCTGGTGTCTTCTCATCCTCTGTACAGACAGGACTTTGTCAGGTCTCACCTTCTCCTCTCACCTTATAGCAGGCTTTTCTTCTGTTTGCTAAGGGTTCGTAGCAGAAAAGCCAGCCAGACCTGGATTTTTATCCCTTTCCCACGTGTGCGACCTTGGACAAGGTCTACAGCCTCCATGAGCCTCAGTTTCCTCATCTATGGGGGGCGGGACAATACTCTTACCCTGGAACCATTATCATGACTGATGCAGATGGAGGATAACACGAACGCTCTGACAGGTGCACAGTGTGAAATGAACGTCCCCTTTCCCTTGTCACCCGCAGCCTCCCCCGTTCCACTTGGTTTCTGTTAGTTCCTCTTTGTTTGGATCCACATTCTTAAATTCTCTCTAGTTCCCAGTCGATCCTACCACTAAAGGAAGCTCATTCCAGGGTACTGTAACGTCACGATTTATTGAGCATCTGCTAGTGCTGGCCATTTGGTAGCCGCTTTATGCAGCAATTTCCATCACGTCAGGTGGTCTAGTTTCTTTTACCAAATCATATTCCCATGGCGCCCTTTTGAGTCAGAAGAGGAAGTCTTGTTCCACCGCCTCAAATTGCTCATCCAGGTGAGGGGGAAGGATGGAGCTATTTGGGAGACAGACATTGGCTTTTTGTGTTTACACACCAGGTATGTCTGTGTGTGTGACGTTCATCGTGGTGACGGTGAATGTTTGTTCCGTGGCACATTTGATGTCTTGCCTCTCAGATCCTAATTAAGTCTTTATAGCTCCCAAATTACATGCTTTTACATGCCTGTGATTATCTCAATAGGATTAACAGTCCTTTTTCCATAAAGATGATTGAGATCTCTCATGGTGGCATATTTTTATTAGTGTAACTCCATCTCTAACCATCCTTCCACAGAAGCTCTTACTGTTTTCCAGTAACTGCTTTTTCACCTCGTTCCGGACAGGAGATGTTCAGGGATCATGGAGAGGCAGAACCCTTCCGTGATCATGCAAACCATGGTAACCACGATGTTTTCTCTGTCTCCCCTCCCCCTCTCCTGACGGCAGGTGCCTGGAGATTTGAGTCAAACGTCCGAAGACCAGAGTTTGTCGGATTTTGAAATGTAAGTCTTCTGTGTCTGCTCATGAGGGGCCCTTCAGAAACAGGACTCTGTTGCTTGGCTTGTGTCCCAGAAGACCACAGGGGGAAGCAGAAATCTGTTTAAATCTGCACAGCTAATTTGGTTATTGTAGAGGGGGGAGATGTTCACCTGCAGCCGGAGTCTGGCCTTCAGGTGTGTTTTTATCTCCCTCCTTGGGTATTGAAAACAATTATTTTTTTGGCTGACAATTAAGAATTGGAAGGTATCACATGAAAATGTAAATTTCTCCATTTTCTTTAAAAGAAGAAATCCCGGCAAGGCCACTGTCAGCTCGAGCTGAGCAGCAGTCGCGGCTTCCGCACGGGGCGCATGTGCGTCAGCTGACCACAGTCCCCACTTCTCCCTATTGCCTGACCCTGGCCCGCTCCACTCATCCCACTGTCTGAGTGTCTCCTGTTAGAACTTCTGAGTTTGCAACCCTGGATTATTGGAAATGACAATAGTTCAGTACATTGGTCTGATTTTTTATTGGATTTAATTCTACCTGCTGCCTCTGCTGATTACCCTAAGGAATTTGGTTGGTCTTCAGACTGACTCTTTTGATCAGGTTGCCTTGTTTTGGGGGCTGAAAATTTCCTTGAGTTGGTGAAAAGAGTAGAGCGAGTCCTGGGTTAAGGCCAGGCAGACACTCTCTCCTCTCTCATTGAATTGTGCTGAGGGAAGGAGGGTTCAGCCTCCCCAAGAGAAGGTGTCATCCGGGGAAACCTGCTTGTGGAGAGAGGGCAGGGCATCGGAAGAGCATTTGCTCAGAGCCAGGCTGAGCCAAGTTGAAATCTCAGCTACAGGACTCACACCAGGGTGACCTTGGGCAAGCCACTTAACTCGCTGGGCCTGAGTCTCCTCCTTCATAAGGGGCAGATCTCAGCCGGCCTTGGGGGCTGTGGTGGCGATTAGAGTGGGGTTATGAAGAGCATGTAGGACCTCCTGAGGCCTGCGGTGTGTGGGCGGCTGCAGTGGAGGTGGGGGTGGCTATCAGTTTGGTGGGTAACAGGGGTCAAGGTGGTTAAGAGGTGAAGGATGAAAATCAAAGGTGGGTTTGCCTCCCGTGGGCCGTGGGGGTGGTGGGCGTGAAGAGGATTGTGGAAAGGCAGCCTGGTGGAGGGCAGGGGGACCAGGTGGGAAGAGTGGGGAGTGCTGTGGAGGGGTCCCAGAGACAGTCACTTGTAAGGCGGAAGGGACTCATTATTAAAGTAAGGACTTATCACGTGCCTGCTGTGGGGAGGTGCTGCACCAGGGCCTTGGTGGAGGGATGAATCAGCCACAGTGCCTGCCCTCCAGCAGCCTCTGCCTGGTCCAGTCACATCTCTTCCTGGAGATCTGCAACCTCCTCCCCGCAGGGTGCTCATCTCCACTGCAGCCAGCGGGAAGCTCCATTTCCAGAAAGAGAAAAAGAGAAAGAGATAGAGACACACATCCTTCCTGTACTTGCAGACAAGGCCCTTGCTGACCTCGGCTCCATCCCCTGCCTCCCCAGCCCTCCCTGCACACCAGCCACCCAGGCCATGGGATTCCTCCAACTCACTTGGTCTTCCGTACTCGGGATTGTTATTTTAGTCCCTTGATCCACACTTCTCGATTTAGGAGGGTGATGGTCACATCAACAATCAGTTCTAAGACCCTGCAATACATACTCTGAAAGGGAGAGATGCCTGGCCAGCCTGGGTGACCACACAGGAGCCCTGGGAGGTTGTCCAGCCCTCACCCTTCCAGGAAGGTTAATGAAAACCAGTGTTAGTTACATTCTGCACCCCTCCCCCTCCCAACAGACATGAAGGGCGGCACTTCAGGCACTAGTACAATCTTGGGGACCTTTCCAGAAGGAACGTCATCAGATATACAAACCAACTTGGTGGCTCAGAATTGCAGTTTGTACTGAAAGCCCTGGGGAGGTAGTCGATAGGGTTTATTTTGCCCCTTGAAGATCAGCACCTCGGCTCAGAGCTTAGAAGAAATGCTGCTTCAGGAAAGAACCATTTCTTTGTGAAAATGAAATGCTCTTTACTCGAGAGGTTGTGAGACTGTTGCTGGGTCATGGAATCTTCCATCATCAGCGTCTCAAATTGTGTTTCAAGCACAGGAGGCTGGCAGATTTTTATGAGCTGCTCTTTGGAGAGAAGGAGAGCATTGGAAAAAGTGTTTAGCCCTGGAAAAACTCTAAGTAGAAGCAAGGGCTTGAACCTCCTAGCCCTTCCAGAATTGCACAGCACTGTTTTGAGAGCTGCTATGACTGATCTTAAAGATTCAGTGACAGTGAACTTATCAGCTCTGCATGTTTGGATCCAGCCGGTGGAAGAGTAGTGATGGTGGGTGTGTGCGCCCAGTGACTCATAGTTAGGTTAAAGTCACCCATAAGGCAGACCTGTCACATAACTGAAATAACCCTTGAAGTTTTTTTAAACAGCCTGCAAGAACTCACTGGGATAACATGGGTAAAAGCATGAAGCCGTGCATCCTATGTACCCAGTAAATGATTTTGCATTTGAGTTTAAATCCTGCTTTATTAGAACCATGCACAGTGTTTTGGAGAAAATTGCAAGAGGGGTATTTGTGCTTGGCTTCCTAGACTCCCCTCCTACAACCCCAAACAGCTGTCACTTGCGTGGCTGTGAGTGTTGGTCTCCTGAGCTCTTCCATGGAGTCTGATCTTAAAATGGGGATCAGGGCCTAAAGTGGGTGTGGCAAGGGGGCAGTATGACTCCTCCGAGCATCCAGAAACCCCATGGGCGTTAGTGCATGTGGCCTCCCCAGCCTCCTCCGGTCACTGTCCCCCTTTCAGATGAGCAAACTGAAGTTCAGATAAATTATGGGCCATGGTCACTCAGTAAGAACTGAAAAGCAGCTTTTCTCATTCCAGAATACAAACCACAAATATAAATTTTAAGATACACATAGAGTTAAATATAAATATGTGTGTGTGTGTATAAAGTTCCTTATAAATATACATGAAGTTCCTTAAAAATAATCTTGGGGGGACCAAGGAATGAGACTTAAACTGACCCTTAAGCTTACTGTTAAGTGTAATAGATGTTGTCATAAATTATGTGTGCATAGTATTTCTTAAAGGAGAAAATAATTTCCTCCCTTCTTTTGGGTAAATTGAAATGACCAATTTTGATCTTTCTTTTATGCAGATCAAACCGGGCGCTGATCAATGTCTGGATCCCGTCAGTGTTTCTCCGGGGCAAAGCCGCAAATGCATTCCACGTGTATCAGGTACTTACTGGTTTTCAGGTAGATGGCGCCGCTGGGGTGAAACCCACGCTTGTTTGTTACTGTCTGGTGCTTTTGCCGCTTGGTGATGGAATACTGCACTTAGAAGGTCACGGCCTCCAAACGCCAGCATCCACCTGCCGAGCCTCCCAGGAAGTGGTCCTTCCATCTGACAGGAGGAGGCAAGTGGTACCTCCTTGTACTGGGCAGGCCTTCTCCTGTGGCCGAGTCCACTCAGCACGTTCTGGTTGAGCGGAAGTGGAATTTGTTGGCTTGGGTTGCATTGAAAAGCCCAGGCACGGGTCTGGCCTCAGGCCTAACTGGATCTGTGGTCAGGAATCTGCCGTCACCTTCCATTCTGCTGCTCAGGCATGCTTTTCAGGCTGGCGCTCTCTGCGGGTTGACCAGGTGGCTCCCAGCAGCCCTGGATGCTCAGCCTGTCTGGGTGTCTCTTGAGGATTTGTCCTGGAGCACAAGCCCATCCCTGAACCTCAGGGTTGGTGACAGACTTCTTTGTGATGGGCCAGGTTGGAAGCGTGTGGCCGCTACTGGCCCTGAGGTGGGAGTTGACCTTATCTGACCACATGAGAGAGAGGAGAGGTGGCTCCCTAAACCCTTGACAAGGGCGAACTGCAGACATTCCCTCTAGCTCCCTGGGGTAGAGCTGGCCACCCTCTGGTTGGGGATTGAGTCTCTGGGACCTCTGCTTTGGAGGTGATTGTGCCCCAACAATTGAGACCCCAGTTTTCCATCTTTTCTCTGATTTTCTGGTATCTCTTCCAGCCCAGCCTGCTTACCCTTTTTGTCTTTCTTCTTTCTCTTTCTTTTTGTAACCTGCTCTCCAGCCGTTGGTGTCCACTTGTCCTGGGACTGTTTGTTTTCAACTTTGACTCGTGGCTGCTTCTGGTTCTGCTATCATCTTGTATCACAAGTCTCATTAGGTTTTGGTCTCATTCCCCATGAGCTCTGTGAAAAGCCTCAAATTTTGTTGTCATGTTTCTTAGTGGGGACTTGACCATTGAAGAAATCTCAGCAATTAAGATGTTTTCCCCAGGAACTGGGGTGCAAAAGGACTCTGAACTCAAGAATAGAAGCCCTGGTTTTGTGTTGTGCCTTTAGGTAAATCTCAGTTTCCTCATCTGTAAAATGGAAATAATAGTAATACTTACTTTGCAAAGCTGTTGTCAGGATTCAAAATACATGGCGTCCAGTAGGCGCTTGGTTTTCGTGTCTCAACTTCCAGAATGATTGCCGTGTTCGGTCATTGGTGGCGGGACTGGCCTTTGGGCGTGTGTTATATAGGATGTATATGGGTATATAGGCACGATGCTCGCCTCTTACCTGAAACCTTATGGACACATGAGCTAGAGTTTGGCAGGGAAGTTTGCACTAGAAGGCCATTTTAGTTTACTTGTTCAGCTGGGCGACGGTAGCACTTTAATGAGTGTTAGGGAATCTGAGTGTTGGCGATGCTCTCAGCTCAGGCTTGAAAAGAGAATTAGCTATGACAGATTTCCAAATATCCTCTTCTCTTTTTATCCCAAACCAAACCAAAAAAAAAAAAAGCCCTCATTGGAGTGGCCTTCAAGTTCTACTTTACAGCGATCAGAAAGCTGGGAGGTGTTGCCTGGAGGATGAAAAATGTGAAGCAGACAGCTTTATTTTAGAGCAAAATTAAAATGTGAGATCACTTGAGTGGTTTCCTTGACCTTTCATTTTTGACTCTTTCTCCTCCCCCTCACCCCAGGAAGCACCTGGGCAGTTCTTAGCTGCTGATAGGCGGTAATGGAATGACACGGACACAGCAAATATGCTGTTGCCTGGGAGATGGTTTCCACGGTGGGCACAGTGGCATTACAGCCACGCTCTCCCCATCCTTGACCGTTTCCAGAGCTTGCTTGGGTGTGGGCCAGCCAGTGCATGGAGGATGAGGCCCAGGTTTCGTGGGAGCCACAGGACTGGTAGCTTCCACATCACCCAGAGCAACTTCACCCTACAAGGGGGGGGCTCGCTGACATCTTTCCTGATCTTGGAGTGTATGCAGCAGCACTTCCTGAATGCAATCATTTTTCTCCTTTTAGCTAACAGTGCTCTGGTTGGTACCTCAGGAGCAAAAGCTGAGCATATGTTTGGAAGCATTTTAGAAAGCCTTTGTTATGGTGTATTTTTTTGGTTTTTGTTTTTTTTAAATGATATATTATACTGGAGAGAGAGTGACTCATTTAAAATGCTGGTACCATTGGACTATTTTTCTTAGTGAAAAAAATGCTTTCTATATATTTCCATAAAAGATTCAAGGTAATTTCTAGAGAAACACAGGAAAGAATGGTAAAATGGAAGTGAGAAATGAAATATCAGAGTCAGAGAAAATGTAAACTAAGAGCATTTCCATTAAGGAAACAGTGGAATCATAGTCATATATATATTCATATATGTATATCATGAGATCCTACATTGGTTTGTAAATTTCCTTTGAGCTTCCTGGCAGCCAGTGTGAAAATGAATGTGGCTATTTTGGATACTCCCATTGCTAATGAGAAGAAAATATGTCAGTTTCTCAAAGAGAGCTCTAAAAGAAATTTCCACACAGGGCTTTAGATTAAGTAATAATGAAGGGTGAGGTGGACAATGCCCTGTTGTAGCCCAATGACAAATCACTATCAGGTTTCATAATATCTCCCTCAAAGGAGGTCAAAGGCATAACCTCAAAATGAACCATAAATTCATTTGAAGAGCCAAGCTGGAAGGGTTGGCCCATGTAGTTTTCTCAGTAGATCTTTGCTGTCCAATATATGACAGCCACTAGCCACATGTGGCCCTTTAAATTTGAGTAAAATGGAAAGAAATTACGAGTTTCTCAGGCACACTAGCCACATTTTGAATGTTTCATATCCACATGTGGCTGCTGGCTACTGTACTGGACAATGTAGATACAGAACATTTCCGTCATAGCAGAAAGTCCTGTTGGATAATGATGATCTAGAACAGTCTGTCCTGGAGTGTCAGAAAGCAAGATGATTTCACGTGTGCTTAGCGAGGTTTTTAGATAGACAGAGACTGGACGTTCAATAACAAGTTCTAACAGACTCACAGGCTTAGAAAACAAACTGTGGTTACTGGGGGGGAGGGGGAAGGGATAAATTAGAAGTTTGGGATTAGCAGGTGCAAACTACTATATACAAAATAGGTAAACAACAGAGCCTACTGTATAGCACAGGGAACTGTATTCAGTGCCTTGTAATAACTTACAATGAAAAAGGATAGGAAAAGAAATATGTGTATAACTGAATCACTATGGTATACACCAGAAACTAACGCAACATTGTAAATTGACTGTACTTCAATTTAAAGCAAAAACAAAAACAAGTTCTGCAGGGAGACGGCCTCTCTTTCCAGTTCTTTGACTGCTGACGGTTTACCTGGAGGAGGACGTCTCCACGTCCGCACTGTGCCTGCATAGCCCTCTCCTCTTTCTTGGCAAAGACAGAGGAAGGCTCAGGGTTAACGCCTTTGGCAGGCAACTAACTTGAGCTCGATTAACAACACTGTGCTGTTTCGTTATGTTTATTTCTGTGTATGGCACAGAATTCTGTTTTTCCATTCACCATGGTGATGTACAGTTTCCTTTCAAAATAAATTTAAGCAGCAAGTGAGACCCACTTAAGGGCAAATACTAAATAAACGGTAATGAAAACAGCAAGAAGTTTAGGGCAGTGCTATGCAAATGAGTAATGTTTGGGAAATGCCATCTGTCACCAGTCTGTGTGTCATAGGAGATAGCTCATTCAGTCCTTATCACAACCCTGTGAGTAAGAAACTCCCCATTTTATAGACGGGAAAACAAAGGCACAGAGGCACAGAGAAGCAGTTCATTTAGTTACATGATTTTGAATCCCCAAAGCACTTTCTGACAAGGTACTGGTTTGCACAGATGAATGAATGAGGGTGGAGTCCAGCTCTTTATAATTCTGAGAAGCAGATGGAACAGTTGTCCTGAAAGGAAGGGCCCAGCCTGACCAAGATCTTGCCTATATGGATGGCCACATGCATCCCTGAGACCATGGGCCCAGGGTACCTCTACAGCCGAGTCAGGGATTTTCTGTAGAACTGCTCCAAGCCCCCTCAGCACACACAGCAGAGCCCTGCAAAGCCCAGAGCCAGGCATTGGAGGGTTTGCTTTAGAAAATTGCTAAGACAGATTCCCGTTCCCCGTGACTGCTCTGACCACAGGAGAGTTTCAGGGACGCTCGCTCAGAACCTCTTGTTTAAGGGTCCCAAGAGCCTGACCGCAGGCTTAGGAAATGTCCTTCTGATTGCAAAGCAGCTACGACAGCCAACCCGCTGCCCAGAGTTACTGGTCTCACTGCTTGTCTTGCGGAAGAGATTATATTTTGCACAAAGGAGTCTCGCCCAAAGTGCTGTCCCTTGACAGGATTGAATGCAAGCTGTTAAAGAAGATTTGTCCCTCCGCACCCCGTGGTTTTCACACTCTGCTCCCGTGTCCCGAGGAGGCGGCTGAGATGTGTTCTGGCATGAGAGTCAGAAATGCGGCACTTGATCAGTTGTCAGAACGAAAGCGGAATTGATGTCCAGGACTTTCCCAGCTTCAGTTTTTCATCGCTGAATATTTCTCATACTTCTGGCCCCTGCTAATGCTTGGCTGCCAGCAGCCACCAGCCAGAGACAAGAGTGATTGGACAGCAACAAATAAGACAGGAAAAAACCAAACCCTGTTTACCGCCTGGCCTTGCTTAGTTTCTCTCTCTCTCTCTCTCATAACATACAGTTGTGCTCGTAGGTTAGAATTTCCATCCCTTCCATGTGACAGCCTTACGTTTGTTGTTAGTTCCTAGTTTATACCTTTGCAAATGTTTAATCTCCTCCGCAAATACCCCAACTGCCAAACAAGTTCAAGGTCCACTGTCTTAATTTCTTACTGTGGTGTTTATAAAGTCATGTTAGACCTTAAAACAACCCACTTATTTTTGTTTCCTCAGCAAATA